AAGTTAAAGGTGCAAGTTTTAAATAATTATAATAATTAGAAGTGTACAATTTTGTTGGTTTATAAAATAAGTGCAATAGTATCAACAGATATGTAGAGAAGATACTAAATTTAATAATGTAACAACTATAATATTAAAATATAATATTATAATGATTTTAAACTGTTACAAACTTTGAAAAACTTTCTTGTATACAATATTTGTTGTTGAAGTTGTTTTGTTGCTATTACTATCACAAATCAATATTTTCAATCCATTTGGAGTAGCGACCCTTGGAACTGCAACATATAATTATCCATGACTAAAGACAGGTTTTTTTAAGAATAGGCCTACATGAGAAAGTGATTGACCCTAGCTCTTATTAGTTGTCATTGCATATGAGACAATTAAAATGGAATTGTCTTCTTTGAAATTTAAAAGGCAATCTCAAGACCGATGGAGTTAATGACATTCTTGGTATTAGTACTTTCTCACCAGCACTACTTCCAGACAATACCTTTGCTTCCAGAACATGGTTTCCAAGTTTAGTAATTACCAGCCTTATGCCATTGGAGAAACCAATTGAGTGGTCAATATTTTGTAAGAGCATAGCCAGAGTGCCAACTTTCAATATAATGTCAATTCATGATTGGGTACACTTGAACACTTGATCCCATTTAAAAATTCTAGACGGTGAACGTCAGCTAACATATCAACATTAGAATCTGATTTGCAAGTACTATCGCAGCTCAAATATGTATATCCTTCAGACGTGTTTAGAAAACTCATATATTCATTTATAGAATGTACCACGTCAATGGTTGGTGTCAATAACGCCTTATTTTGTAAGTAAGACGGATCAAAGAAAATGTTTGAATGCATTTACTGGATGCAGAGATTTTAAAAATACAATAATTGGAAAAAATTAAATTAAACATTGAACACTAAATATTGTAAATAATACCATTACAAAATTTTTAAATCACAAGTAAAAAACTGAGCATGATAGTGTAAGAATGTATGTACTGGATGCAAAATACCATTACAAATTTATTAGTTGACCGTAATCATTATTACCAATGATTGCATAATTTCGTGAATGGTGCAAAATATCATTAAAAATTTTAAAAATAAGCATATTGTTACACTGAGTCCATTAATTTTTTTTTTAAAATGGAATAAATTACAGTAATATTGATTACGGTAATAAGAAAAAGTAAAAAGATCAAACATATATAACTCCAATCTTCCATTCCTAAATTACAGTAATTTAGGAATGGAATAACACAGAAGTTATTTATTACATGATTATTTGTAACATAAAAGTTATTTATAAAAATTTTAAAAAGAGAAAATTTCAATTTTGGTCCACTGACTATTAGAGGTGTGTTAATTGCTGCACTTGACTATTAAAAATGTTGATTTAGTACCTTGACTATGTGATTTTTATCAATTTTGGTCACGCCGGCCAAATTAAAGGCGATTTGTGACCGGAAAAACGCAAGTCAACCAATAGTCCGATTTGGCAGGGGCAAATTAGTACTTTCATGTTGCTTCTATGATTTGGGTAAACGGATTGTTGACCAAAGGAGCACCCGACCCGCCGAAATCAATTTCTACCGGCATATAACTATTTGCCCTACATCAATTGTGTGTCGCTGGTTGTTGTTCCTTCCCAAACGAATCAAAGGCATTTAGACGGAAGAGGAAGACGAAGATTGGCTCAACGTAGACGAAGGTTTCAGCGCTGCGATTCTTCTTACGTGGGTATGAGTAGTGTACATTCTTCTTCTTCCAATACTGGTAATGAGTACTATGAATTTGGGGAAAGGTTCCCAATTCTCCATTGTAGATGTGGTCACCAACTCAAGATTCGAACTTCATGGACTAATGAGAATCCAGGTCGGAGATTTTGGCAGTGCTCCGGTGGTGGTGTAAGTAAATTTCGCTGTTTTTGTTTTTGTTTTTGTTTTTTTTTTTTGTTTTTTTTTTTTTTGTGTTCCAGTTTGAAAAGAATTTGATTTCGTTTTTGTTTGATTTCTGAATTTTGTTTAAATCAGAGTCACAGGCAGGTTGGGTGTGGATTTGTGGATTGGTATGATCCTCCAATGTGCTACCGTTCGAAGCGAATAATTCTGGGATTGCTTAAACGCATTAATAAACTAGAGGAAGATATAAGAACACTGCATATGAAGAAGATTGAAGGTGACAAGAAGGAGGCTGGAAATGTGTTGAAGAAGATTGTAGGAATAATGCTTTTAATTTTTGTAGGTTATATTGGTAGTCAGTATTGTGGCAGTGATCTTTGAATTGTGTAGTTGTATGAAATGGCCTTTGAATTGTAATGTCTAAAGTTATCCGTTTGGTAATGAATTGCTCATTTGAGTGAAGTCATGAATTGGTAATGAATTGTTCATTTGCAAACTGTCATTTGATAATGAATTGTAAACTGTCAAAACAGGTGATCAAGTAATGAAAATTTGCAAAGTCATCATCTTCATTCATTGATCCTGTGAATTCAAAACAGTTTGAAAAGCCAAAAACCAATACAACTTAGCATTTGCTTTTCAAAAGCCAAAAACCAATACAACTTAGCATTTGCTTTTCAAAAGCCAAAAACCAATACAACTTAGCATTTGCTTTTCAAAAGCAAAAAACCAATACATTTGCAATTTTCTAGTACAGTCTAAAAAACCAAAAATCATAGTCTAAACTTAATTCACTCAATGTTGATAGGGTCATCATTGTTTCCATGGAATTTTGACTTGAATGTGGTCTTGCTCCTTGTATAGTAGGGCTTCTTACGATTCGATTGCCTTGTCTTTGTGGCCTTGTTGTTGCCTCCTTGATGAGTAGAGTCCTCCTGCTTAATAGGAACCGAATGACTAGCTTCCTCCTGCTGCTGCCTAGGAACTGGATTAGTAGCTTCCTCCTGTTGCCTAGGAACTTGATCAGTAGTTTCCCCCTGCTGATGTTGCTGCCTAGGAACCTTTTTAGTGATCTTGATGGGGATTTGTTTGGTGGAATAAATTACCCTTTTGTTTGGCTTCAAGTAAAACAATAATATTGTGTAAGTGGGAGTTTAAAAACAACAGTATAAATTAATTCCACCAACTATAAAATCATAGAGTATAATATCTTTTGTTTTGGGTTTAGATTTGAAGGACACTTTCTTGAATTATGGCCAGCTTTCTTGCAAATAGTGCAATGCAATAGGATATACTTTCTAGACACTTTAAACCCATCTTCACTCAACTTTGGCTGCACCTCTCCACCATATCTCAGTCTAAGCTTTTTTGGTTTTTCAACCTTGGCAGAATAGATAGGTGGTAGTAGGGGATCTCTGGTAATCAGTGGCCATTCTTCAGGCCCTGCCATGGGGTTTGATGCGTAGTATATTTGCAAACAAATAATTCTCGGAGTACGAGTTATCGATCCACAGGGAAGTGGTTGTATCAAGCACTAGTTACTAACTTATTCATTAGAGCTAATCCTAACAATTACTTAGATGATTGATTGACATAAAATAAATAAAATAAAACAGAGGTTCAGGATTTTGAAAACAATTAGAGAGAAGTTGAGATTCATGGGATTCAAGTATTTAATCACCTAGTGCCAATTATCGTTTGCAATATTTAGTTTGGAATTAAGATTTGTGTGGGAATGTAAAGTGGAATCGAATTACTCCCGTAATCTCTATTCCTAGTGAATTTCCACTCCCACGGCTTAAACACCCAATAAGATCAAAGATCAGCATTCAATTATTCCTAATTACTACCATCTCCCGATTGGCAACAATCTAGAATAAACTTCCCCTAATAAGTTCCCCTTTCCCAAGGGCCAACCATTAGGTGCAATCGTGTGTGCCCTAATTTATGCCCCAACTCCCATTGGTGACACAAACATGGCTATGAAGCTAGTAACTATGGCCATTAATTACAAGCATCAAACAATATTATCACGATTGCAACACAAGTGTTAAACCCAAATAATAATATATTAAAGAAACTGAGAGCTCAGGCACATAGGTTCATAAACACTTTTACCCAAGAATCTCTAAAGAATTTAGCCAAGCATGACTAAATTATACAGAGCAAATATAAATAAAGAATTACAAATCATCAAAAGAGTACAAGAATTAACCAGACGATTTTCCCAAATCTCCCTAGTCTTCTTCTTGCTTTCCAAGACAACTTGTGGCTCTTGATTTCTCTCCTTTTTGTCTCCAAGAATCTCTGAATTCTCTCGGTCCCGGTCCCTGTCATTAGAGTTGAGGAAGGAGGGATTTTATAGTGGGTACAAAGTTGAGATGAAATAGAAATCTTGTACCAAATTGGACTCAAATTCTAATTCCTATATTTAAATAAAGAAATTGCCGTCTTTAATGATATTTAGAATTTGGAAGATTCCTTGAATTGCTAACTTTTAATATGGAGATATGAGCCTTGAAGTCCGCGCAATTGATATTAGGAAAAGAAATCTCGCGCTTGTATTGAATTTTGGCCAGCTGCGCCACTTTAGGCGTCTGTTTTTTTATCCGCGCCACTTTAGGCGTCTGTTTTTATCCCAGAAACAGACGCATATTCGACGCGTCGAGACTTCCTGTGCGCGAATTAATTAGCTACTGGAAAATTTCGACGCGTCGAGTCCACTGGGCCCCGAACTCATCCAAAATTGCTCCAAACTCATCCTTGAACTCCCCTTGGTCATATCTTTGACCTAAAATGGTTCAAAAACACTAACAAACACCGTAAAATATTCAAAACAAGTGCGAACCATAATTAAATGATAATAGCAAGGAAAACATGTATTAAATAAGCAAAATTAAAGAGCTTAATTACTGTGATGATTCAAAATAACAATAAAAACAAGCACAGATGTGATAACATCAGGGTTAATGGAGCAACTATATATCTTCATATATGTTTCCTTGGAATAACAAGGATGAACGTAATCATAGTGTGCTCCTTGCCCATATTTCTTCCAAATTGAACAGATTGCATGCTTGCAAGGAATCCCAGTCAAATCCCAATTCCTACATGAACAAGTTTCCTTTCCAGATCCACCTGATGTTGGCCCCCATATAACTGTTGCACCTCAAATTTGAAAAAGTCACATTGAGTGGCCAAACAACCTGATGCCTGCTTCTCTATTTTCTTCAATTTTCCAACAATTGATGGACATATCATTGACTTCCATCCAGCTGCTTTTTGTCTTTGCTCAAAAAACTTACTCATTAGCATTTTCCTTATAGTCTCTAGGCAGTCTATGATTGGTTGATCCCTAGCACCAAGTAATGCTGCATTGAATGACTCACATATGTTGTTTACCAACATATCACAGTGAGTGTGTGTTGAGAAGTGAGACCTACTCCACTCTATTGGAGACTTGTCACCCAACCATTGATAAGCTTCTTCATCTAAGGCCCTAAGCTTGTGTAGTGCACTAGTATAAGAATTCCGAGTTGTTGCCCTAGCACATTCCCAAAGAGCATCCTTCATTGCCTTCCCTTGAAACCCTGCCACTTTCATGTTTGAGTGCAGGTGCCTCACACAAAACCTGTGCTCCACACCAGGTATGATTTCTTCAAATGCTGGGATCAAACCTTTCTGCTTATCACTTATAAAAGTATAGTCATGTTCTCTATCTTTTGTTATCCCCAAGTCTTCAGCTAGGAATTTTAGAAACCAAGACCAGGACTCCCTCTTCTCCCCTTCAACAATAGCATAGGCAAGTGGGAAAAGACTATCATTAACATCAACACCTACTGTAGTCAAAAGCATCCCACCAGATCCACTTCTCAAATGACATCCATCCACACCTATTAGGGGTCTACAATGTCCGAATCCTTGTTTGGAAGCATCCCAACAAATATACATTCTTAAAAATCTTTCCTGCCCAGTTTCCCCATCTTGCAAGTCACTGAGCTTCACTTTATACCTAGTCCTAGGGTTTGTCCTATCCATTTCAGCACAGTAGCTCCATATCTTCTTGAAGTTTTCTTCAGTATCACCAATTCTTTGTTTCTTGGCTTTCCACATAGCCTTGTAGGCTTGTTGATCACTTAAATAGAACCCCTTTTCACTAGTAACTGTATCCCTGAATTTTGTCATCATCCATTCTGGGTTGTTATTTAATTGTTTGGCCCACCTCTTTGCAACCACATCAGCTTTTACCATTGAATTCTCCCAAACCCAAGAACAACCTTCATGCACATCAACCATGTTCAAAATCCTCCAAGCATCTGAGTGAAACACTTTCCTTAGTCCTATTCTCCAAGGACAACCATCCTGTGAACACTCAACTATAACCCTCAAAGCATCATTCCTAATAGTTCTGATATCTTTCCCATTTTTGAAACCATAATTCTGCACTGCTTCTCTAAACTGTTTCTTAGAGGCAAAGGTCATGCCTAATGTAAGCTCTGGATCATTCATGTCAATAGCTTCTCTAAAAACAGGCCATTTACTTTCCCATCACTGTCAGATTCAACTACAGAAGCATCATCAGAAAAATTTATCTCATCCCAATCATATGAGACTATTTCACATTGTTCTTCCTATTTTTTGGTTAACTCTGGATCAAGCATGTTTAACTCTGGATCATTCATGTTTAACACTGGATCATTCATGGTTAACTATGCCCCATTCATGGATAACTCTGCCTTGTCATCCTTATTCAAACACTCAACCTCAACCTCTAACTCACTTTCCCATTCACCCTCACACTTAACTTCATTAACTTCAGCTTGAAAAAAATCATTTTCATCCATAGTTTCTATCCAAATCTCCAACATTTTACCTTCATCCTCTGCTTCTCTAAGACAGTTTGCAACATCTATATCATTTTGTAGTAACTTACACATACCATGTCCACCATGATAAATGTATGCTCCTATTGAAGAATACCCTAGATCTTCAATCTTATCCTTAAAGAATTGTAGACACAGATCCTTAGCTTGCACCTTGTCATATATTTCTACATCACCCCCATGTATTTAATTTCACATTGCCAATTAATTACACCATTATGGAAGATAAAAACATGAAAAGGGCCAAGATCATCTCCTGTAAAGCAGCCACATAATAAAATAACAATATAAACGACATATAAGTACTCATAACTCCAATATATGCACAAAACACATCAACCAAAATAATGTCCAAATACAGACATAGTGGTCCCACATAGCTCAGCATATACATAGAACACAACAAAGGCAAAAACAATTTGGTCCCCACAAAGAATAATATATCAACAGAAACATACAAACAAGATTCCACAACACCCACTGAGCACTCAAATGAACACTCAACTTTAAGCTAAATTTGGTCCCCACATGTAAGTTTCTGAGCATATTTAAAGCACACTAACACCCACTGAACAATCAACTTTAAGCTAAAATTGGTCCCCACATGTAAGTTTCTGAGAATATTTAAAGCACACTAACACCCACTGCTAATTTCACACAAATTAAGTAAAGTAATCTCAAAGTCTTACCCCTGACAGCCATTAAATTGCCTGGTATGCAGCGCGAGTAAATGGAGACTGGTTCACTTCACTGTAGTGCGAGTAAATGGAGCTTTCTTCCTTCGTCGATGGAGTCTGATTCTCTTCACTAGAGCGTTCTCTTCACTGAAGCTTTCTCTTCACTGGTCGAATGAATTAGGTTTCACAGGTGGGTTAGTGGAGTCAATTAGAATTAGGCGGGTAGAAATTGATTTCGGGGGGTCGGGTGCTCCTTTGGTCAACAATCTCTTTACCCAAATCATAGAAGCAACATGAAAGTACTAATTTGCCCCTGCCAAATCGGACTATTGGTTGACTTGCGTTTTTCCAGTCACAAATCGCCTTTAATTTGGCCGGCTGACCAAAATTGATAAAAATCGCATAGTCAAGGTACTAAATCAACATTTTTAATAGTCAAGTGCTGCAATTAACACACCTCTAATAGTCAGTGGACCAAAATTGAAATTTTCTCATTTTAAAAATAAGCATGATTATGTACAACATGCATATCCTGGGATAATGTTTGAATGAATGCATATATTGGATGAAAAGATTGATTACAAATTTATTATTTGACAGTAATCATTACAGTCAAATAAAGATTTTATAATTTCTTGAATGCATGTACTCAATGTAAAATACGATTAAAAATGTTAAAAATACAATAAATGGAAAAAAAGTTAAATTAAACATTGAACACTAAATATTCTAAATAATACCATTATAATTTTTTTTAATCCCGGTTAAAAAACTGAGCATGATAATGTTAGAATGCATGTACTGGATGCAAAATACCATTACAAATTTATAATTTGACCGTAATCATTATTATCAATGATGGTATAATTTCGTGAATGATGCAAAATAGCATTCAAAATTGAAATTGCACCGTGAATCTTGAATGCAAGATTTAACTTATATTTCTACTTGATTTTATGTTATGCAACAATCGTGTTCATTAATTAGATTTGTTAATCAAATGTAAATAACGAAAATTGAAAGCATAAAATAAAACAATAACACAAGAGAATTGTTACGCAGTTCGGAGCGGTTCTCCTACGTCTGCGGGGCAACCCACGTCTGCCCAATCCACTATAGATATTCACCAAGGAGTATTACAAGAGGTAAGTACAAATGGCTCTCAGCGTTTACCACTACAACCCTTCCTAACACCTATTCAGGACTGAACCGTGCATGCCATAACAATCTTCAAGCGAAGCTTCAACTGTACCAGGTACTGACTGTGTAGCTCAGGCAGAATTTCTCAAGAAATAATAAAATAACAATAGATATTTATGCAGTAGCTTTCTAGAAATTCCTTTACTCAATATATCAATTCTCAAAAATGGCAACTTTCCTCATTGGTGTGGCTTCCTTTTATAGTAATATATATAACCCATCACTTTGATCCACATAATTAGCATCCATTAGTCTTCAACAAATCACAGCCTCACATTTTTGTTTGAAAGTTTCACCATAACACACTTCTACTTCTCCTTCATTAACCAATGCATGATATCCATTCAATTACCTTTAGGTGATAGAAAATGGTCCAAATAGTATAACATAAAGTATTTCACATTGAATAATTCTAACCCTTTAATAATTAAATTAGCCAATTTATATTAAGAGTTTTTTTTTTTTTTTTTTTTTTTTTTTTTTTTTTTTTTTTACGTGTATCATTTATACACTTACAATCTCCCCCTTTGGCAATTTAATTGGCAAAAACTAATGCATGTATACTTCGGGCCAAAATAAATTCATTTTCAAACAGTTTTATTAATAGGTGGTCCTTAGTATACTTGCTTGACATGTAAACCTATGGGTTAGAATTATTTTGAGAAATTACCATGTCATATGGACTGTAGCTTCATCCACTGATAATCATCCCAACAGACAACTGTATCCCAAGCTGTATCACACTCAAATATTTATGATGCATAGATAATCCGCTGAACTGATGTGAGTAATAAGATATAGATAAGAATCCCAATAATATGAATTATGAATCCAATAATAATCAAAAGCCAAAAATAACCACCATAATCCCAATAATATGAATTATGAATCCAATAATAATCAGAAGCCAAAAATAACCACCACCCAACCATCAGCCAACTGCTACCAATCAGTGTGACTCCAATTCCAACAGTTTTACCAAAACTCCCCCTTAATCCTTGCTCCCCCTTCGTATATACTCCCCCTTTTTTGCCAATGAATTGCCAAAGGTGAACATCTATATTCGTGGATTGAGTATGACGGAGTGCCCTATTGGATTGAACCTGCACAAGAAAATTTGAAACAAGAAACGCAGAACTAGATAACCATTAAGTAATGCAAACAGAGCATACCACAGATTCAGATACGCAATAAGTACCTATAGACACGAATATCAAGTTGGAGCAGATAATGCAAACAGAGCATACCCAAGTAGTAAGCACATTCAGATAAAGCACATTTACGCACAGATTCATATTAAGCAAAGTCAAGCACAAATTCATACCAGATAGCACTGTAAAACACACAAACAAAACAAGCACGGTCATGTAAAGCATATTCAGCCAGAGATTCAAATAGAGCAAAATCAAGCACAGATTCATGTAAGTCAACTTCAGGCAAGAATTTATAACAGTTAGCACAATAAGTATACAAGCAAACACAGATACAGTCATGACCGAACCAACAAAACACATTTACATATTTTGCAAATATTAAACAAATTGCATCAAATTTTCATTCAAGTAACCATAGAGAATTCAAAGATGCAACGCAAGAAACAAAAATAACCTAAGCAAAAATAGTTTTATTAGTTCAAAAGCACTCAAAACAACACAAGTAGAACATTTAGTAAACGCATAGAAAACAGTCAAGAACAAAACATAAAGAATCAATCCATTAAAAGCACTCAAAACAACGCAAGTAGAACATTTAGTAAACGCATAGAAAACAGTCAAGAACAAAACACAAAGAATCAATCCGCAATTTAGAGTAGGTAACGAAAAGTATTAATTGCTAGAAAAATAAAAAATAAATTGGAATAGAGGACAAATCAATCATAGAGAGACACACGCACAAAAAAGATATAGATGCAAGGCGAGAGCATGTAGGAACTGAACCGTTAATTCAAAAGATAAATTATCTTATCCTGAAACAGATTCTATCACAGATGTAGAATATTACACTGGCAAAGATGAAGAATTGTCAAGATTTGAAGAATGCAAGGATATTGAAGTAGAGGGCACCAAATTAGGTAAAGGAACACATAAAAACTCAGCTTTAGACATAGGAATATTTGCAGGTATTTCACAGGACAAATCAGACAATGACACCCTAAAAGATTCATGAAAGAACAAAAGGAATTAGAGAGTAATGAACCTGTAGACCTTATCACCAAAGATGGTGGCAAAATTAATTTTGAAGATGGATGATCTATTGTGGATGCATGTTGGAATGTCAATGTCGTCTTGATAAGTGTCAGATTCTGATTCTGGTTCTGGGTCAGGTTCAGATGGCGTGGGTGACAGCGTAGGTGACTCTAGATCTCGTTCAGGAGTTTCAGAACGGTTTACATCAGGTTCTGTCATTGACTCAGGTTGTGAAACTTCAACAATATCATTCGGTTGATCATCAATTACAACATTTGTAGACTCCATGGTGGTCTTGGTCACTTTGTTGTATACACGATATGCACTGCTATTCGTTGAATAACCAGGAAAGATCCCCTCGTCGCTTTTTGGTTCAAATTTGGCAACATGATTTCTATCCTTCAAAATAAAACATTGTGAGCCAAAAATGTGAAAGTATTTAATATTCGGTTTCTTACCTTTCCATAATTCATACGGTGTTTGACTTGTGCCTGGCCGAAGATAGACTCGGTTGGAGATGTGGCATGTGGTGTTTACAGCTTCTGTCCAGAATTTTTGAGGTAATCCTTTGGCGTTGAGCATGACTTGTCCCATTTCTTGAATGGTGCGGTTTTTTTATTCAACGACTCCGTTTTGTTGAGGGGTCTTTGGTGCTGAATACTCGTGGGTAATTCCTGATTGATTGCAAAAGGCATCGAACAAGTTTTTGTCGAATTTCCGTCTTGATCACTTCGAATTCGAATTCGAATAATAGGTTCATTTCTTTCCTTTTAGAGTTTCAGTCCCAGTGTTTTGAAAGCTTCAAGTGCTTCGGATTTTTCCCTGAGAAAGATTACCCACAAAAAAATCATCAACACATACCAGCATGTATTTCTTACCTCAAAAACTCTGTGTTGAGTAGGACCAATGAGATCCATGTGGATCAGTTCTAGGCAGTGACTTGTGTTTATGGTATGTTGAGCTGGATGAAATGATTTGGTCTGTTTCCCAGCTTGGCAGGCACCACAAATGATTGATTTGACTTTCATATTGGGTAAACCACGAATACCTTCTATCTTCATTAGTTTATCAAGTAGTTTGTAACTTAGATGCCCCAGTTTTTGGTGCCATAGCTCAGCTTCATCTATGCTGGTCCTGCAACAGAAGATATGTTAGTTAGAATATAGCAATTATCAATTGATTTGTTTGGGTGCTTAAACAAAGAATCGCAGCACGTTTTATCCTGGGAAACCTAGGCTACAACGCGCCTAGCACTTGTGGGAGGTAGCAAATAAGGTTTTAAGGAAAAGAACTTTGTGTTCAAACTCGTGCTAACCTCTACCCAAAATTTTCCACATTTTCCTTCCCAGATTTTTTTTTTTCTGTTTTCCCATAGAATAATAATCTTTCCGTAGGATTATTATTTTAGAATTTTTCCACCTTATTACCCAACATTTTGTGCAGACAAAAGGTTCATAATCAGATCCAAAAGTACTTCAACGGCTGGAAATTTGACAAAAGCAACCTACTATGCTTTATCCACTGGTTATTGCACATTGGTCAAAAGATGTTTGAAATGTGTTTCCCTCCCACGGACAAATTTCAAAGACCTCTATAAATACCTCCATTCAAATCTAAATGAGTGCTAGCAATTTTAGAAAACCAAGTGTTAAGTGTGAACTAGCTTACAAACAATACCAAGAGCCAGTGAAGTGAGAGAGCAAAGAAAGATCAAGCTCAGACTATTGCAGCAACCAAGAAGATTCAACACAGAGTCTATAGTTGGAGAATTTGAACAACCTTGTGTTCAAAGCAACTTTCTCTACTTGGATTAGTAGAAAGAGGTGGAGTAACAAGTGCATCTTGTGAAAAATCTTGAAAATTGCGGTCAACTTTGTTATCAAAGCACAATCGCTCTTTATTGTACTAGTCGTGATAGTGCAATCATCATATTGGAGTTTAAGGAGAAGAATGGACGTATGTTGGGTTTTGGTTGAACCACTTCAAAAATCTCTCTCTCACATTCTCTTTACATATTGCGATTTACTTTCAAGTCATAACCAACCAAACCTAAAGTTTAAAAGAGCAAAACACATACAAAGACAAATTTTAAAAAGGGGTAACAATTATTTTTCCACTGCTTTACTTTGAAAAAGTGTTCAAAAATTATTCAAGTCTACTCACCGTACCTTTTCTAGACTTAACCCCTACTCATCGGGACCAACAATATATATATATATATATATATATATATATATATATATATATATTAAACTTTAAAAAAAATCAAGTTAGACATTTTGAATTCAAATATTTGAGTCGAATCAAATATATTCGAATAATGTAATCAAATTGAATACGAATAAAATTTGAAATTCGAATATTTAATCAACACAAATAGAATAGTCGAATACAAGTACTCCTATTCTCAATATAGTTAAATTCGAATTTAACTTAATTGAGTTGGTTTACGTCCCTAATTTCAACACCTTCGTTACGTACGTAACGTTCTGGTTCTTCAAGAGTTCAAGTTAGGCTCGCCCTCAATCATTGGATTTGATTAATAATAACACAGTAAGTCAGTAACTAACAAAACCACGAAAACTAACGAAGAATGAAAATTTGACAATTTGCAAAACCGCCCCGATCCCTTAAATCCGGACCAACGCCAAATCAGCAATCAAAACCCCTGTTCACGTTTCAACACTCAACGCCTGAATATAAAATTATTATTATTATTAAAAAAAAAAAAAAGCAATTCCGTTTCCTACTTTTCTCCGCTCTCTTCCTCTATATAGTCTAGACTGGATACCAGAATTCTCAATTTCTCGACTTCGGTTTCTCTCTCTACACTTCTGCTTTGTCTTCCTGGTTGGCTTTCTCTCTCTAGATCTCAATTCACGTACTGATCATCGGTAATGACGTCGATGGAGCAATTGGTTGGCGCCGGCGGAGTAGGGCCGATGTACGTGCAGATGCAATCGGAGCCTTCCTCCTCGCCGTCGATGACCTCCTCGTTGCTCACTTCTCATCATCAGCTGCAGCAGCAGTGCTCCGAGGCGGCTCGGATTTTCGATGAGTTGCCTATGGCTACTATCGTCCAGGTGTCCCGTCCCGACGTCGCTGATATCAGCCCCATGCTCCTCACTTACACAATTGAATTTAAATACAAACAGGCAATACTTCTCTGCTTGATTCGCTCTGTTTTCAGATTGTTTCGTGCACCTGGATTGGCCACTTGAATATTCAAGTGTCAATTGCATTAACAGCTATGAATAATTGAACTTTAGAATTCTAGGCACTAGAATTTGTTTGAACTCTATTTATATGTTTTAATTTGTTATCAGCGTGCACAAAGAAATAATCTTGAATTTGGATGAGACTTCTAGTTCCGGCCACTTTAGGTCAATAAACAACTAAATTTAGTGCTTTTTCTAAGTCACCATTTATACTTATGAACTCATCTTTTTCAACTTTGAATGGAGTATCATAAGCTCAGATACAGGTTGTGGAACCTTTATTTGGGGTTTATATTGAGCTACTTTCAAAACCTCACAAACGTGTTAAGTCTCCTAGAGAAGAAAAAGCAAGAAATCTGACTGCAATTGTGTATTAAACTATTAATTAATGTATATATGGATGGATATATGAAAACACTAGACTAGATAACTTGCAAGCAAATTGATGAGAGATTCTTCTACTTATTTGTCATTTTCTGCATACTACACGAGAAGACAGTTTCTTCACCTTGTCATGTATACCAAAAAAAATTTAGAGGGCGAGAGTTGTTTTATTTGGCAGAGTGTTAGACCACTGGTCACTGAAGCCTAAGAACAATATCTTTTACGTTGTTGTGACCTTGACTTAGTAATTATGGTGTGTCTTATCTCCTCTTGAGTAAAGAGCTTTTCAGTATTGAATGAATAGAGTTTGAATTTCACTAGCTTGTAAGGATCTGGTCTGTTTCCAGTTATGTGATTCACCATCTTCAGACTTAATTCTGTACTTGTCTTACTATATTCTATATTTCTATTTCACTGAATTTTAGGTTGAATTTTTTTTACTGTCTATATACAAGATTCTGACTTTTCGTTATGTCTTATGTTTCAATATATATACCTTTTTGTTTGTTTTTATGAGGCTGTACTGATTACTGATACATTGATGTCTGCTATGTGTTATTCTTGTGCTCTGTAGTTCAAATGGCAACTAGTGAAGAAGGCTTCACAAGTTTTTTATTTACATTTTGCATTAAAGAGACGGCTATTTATTGAGGAAATTCATGAGAAGCAAGAACAGGTATATTTGGATTACCTACCTAATCATTATATAGTTATCACTCCTGTTTGTAACTGATTTGTGATAGTGTTCTGTAATCTCTAGCAATTTTATCAGTATTTGCAATAATCTTCTGCTATAACTGTGGAGTTTCCTCTTCTTTTTTTTTTTTTTTTTTTTTTTTCCTCTGACTGGCAATTCATTTTTTACTTTAAAGGTTAAAGAATGGCTTCAAAATTTAGGAATAGGGGAAATTCTACCTGTTATGCAAGATGATGATGAACCGGATGATGACACTCTTCCAATGCGCACTGATGAAAGTGCAAGAAACAGGTAATTTCTAATTCAGTATGACCTTTCTTGATAGAAGGAAAGCATTAGATTCATTGTTCCCCTTATAATAGCTATTGTTCTTACAGGTGGTTTTTTGTTCAGAGATGTTCCATCTAGTGCTGCACTGCCAATAATCCGCCCCACACTTTTAAAACAACATTCTATGTCAGACAGAGCAAAAGTAGCAATGCAGGGGTACTTAAATCACTTTCTTGGAAACATAGATATTGTCAATTCCCATGAGGTATGCAACTGTCTTATACTCTGTTGTTTCTTTTGTACTAGTCTTGTGAATAAAAATGGTAGCAGGTCAGACCATGTGCACTTCTATATCCTGCCACATATGTGGAAGGAAGATGGTATGCAAACTTACCTCTATTTTCATAGAGGATCTTTCATGCATTGAACCTATGACCTAATGGTCACTGCTGAGCACTTAGATTGTTCTGTACTTGTGCTAGTCCTGTGAGTCTTAAAGAATTATCTTTTCATTGTATCATTCCATCAATATTTCTTTTGCTTGAAAAATGCTTTTATAACCTTTTCATTCAAGCTTTAACACCAATGATTTAATGATATAGGTTTGCAAATTTTTGGAGGTTTCAAGTTTATCCTTCTCGCCAGAGTATGGTCCTAAGCTTAAAGAAGATTATATTTTGGTAAAACATTTACCCAAGATACGAAGTGGTGAAGATCATAACAAATGTTGTTCATGTAATTGGTTCAATTGTTGTAAAGACAACTGGCAGAAGGTAAACATTCTTTCTTGAAATTCTCACTGATACATACATGCTTGAGCATTATCTGTAGTTGAGAACCCTATATATGTCAGTTCTTTGTACTTCTCATTTTAATTGATTACACCCTTCCTAGGAATAGTTATTCAAAGGTGAAATTTCCCTTTTGATTAATGTCCATGGCTAAAGTATAGTCCCTTTCAGGTTCTCCTTAAGTGTTATTTTATAGAGCTTCATAACACCTTAACACTCAAATCATAAAAGTAACAATATTTTTTTTAAACCAACTTATTGTTCTTTTGCTAAACACTTGTATTTGCTGAGTTATGGATAGAAGAATCAGTCAAATATTTGGTGATAATGATGGTGTATTAAAGTGAAGCCTTTTAGGTGTATTAATTTGCATAGCTAGAGGGTGTTGCTGGTTGCTTGATAATAACTTCTCTCTAGTTTTGTTTGCTTGTGGCTATGATATCAGTTTACCTCCCTGATGTCTCATGAATACCAAATGTTTGCATAAGTATTTTTGTTTGTACATTTTATTACTCAAGTTAGATGCTGGAAAAGATCTACTCTGATTGTGTTATTTTAAGTTCTCTGTGGCATTTATATTTGTGCTTGTCACTTCCACTTGCACTTTACCTTAGCTTTTGGTTATTTGCAGGTCTGGGCTGTACTGAAGCCAGGATTCTTGGCCTTCCTTAAGGATCCTTTTGACACTGAGCCTTTAGATATAGTTGTTTTTGATGTGCTTCCAGCCTCAGATGGTAATGGAGAGGGAAGAGTATCATTGGCAAAAGAAGTAAAGGATGGCAACCCTTTGCGCCATTATTTTAGGGTAAGGAATTTGAGTTCTTCTATGTGTCCTTAGCAGCTTTTGGTAGGGTTTGAACATTGAAGTGAAAGTTTCAAATGTAGTTTGCTGGGTTGGATCCTTTGTTCCTTGGGGACATTTGAATTTCTATAGAAATATTGCTGGGAATATTGTTTTTCATCCTTTCATTGCATTCTCAGTCAATTGAAAGGAAGTCTTTACTTATATAAAAGAAGCGAAAAGAATAGAAAGTAGATGAAGTACCAAGTATGGCATTGATGTTGTAGCTCAATGATGCGTTCTTTGGAAGATCATACCAGCACTGTCTTCGGGATCACACGGGGGGGTTACACAATCAGCAGAATAAGGGAACAAATCAGCATAATTTATTTACTTCCTTGTTAGTAGATTTATTTTAAGAAGAGATTATTTTCCTTCCTTTAGAACTTTCCTTAAGTATGTAATTCTTGACTATAAGTAAAGCACTTCTGATGGAGAAATAAAGACAAGCACTTGAGTTTTAAACGAAACCAAGGAGCCCGGAGACTCCAGAAACTCCTTTACATCCTATCTCAGTTTCCTACTCTACAACCTGTACTCAACCATCCATTCACCATTGATGGTCCTGCTTCAACCTCGAACCCCGCTTCTTGCCCATTGATGAGAGCATTTTGCAAAGAACAAAACATTTTGGTTCCTTTGATGGGAATTGAACCCGGGTCACTCACTGCTGCTCTCCCCGTGTTTGAGATAATCCTCAAATCTCCATTGTGTTCCTGCTTAATGGTTTTAGGTGTTTTGGAGATATAGCTATCCTTTCTTAGCTGCTATGACTTGATTTAAAATTATGTCATTCAGATATGTTAATTTTGTGATAGGTGTCTTGTGGGATACGAAGCATCAAGTTAAGAGCAAAGAGTAATTCTAAAGTTAAAGATTGGGTTGCTGCAATTAATGATGCTGGGCTTAGACCACCTGAGGGTTGGTGTCACCCTCATCGCTTTGGTTCATTTGCTCCTCCACGGGGTTTAGTTGAAGATGGAAGCCAAGCTCAGTGGTTTGTTGATGGTCAGGCGGCATTTGAAGCCATTGCTCTGGCAATTGAGAAAGCAAAATCAGAGGTTTTTTTATGTTGTTTTTTCTTTTCCTTTGTTTCAAGTGCATCATTCTTTGTTTGAATTAATTTGCAAGTAAGAATGTGGATGTTGATTTATGGATGCAGATATTCATGTGTGACTGGTGGCTTTGCCCAGAACTGTACATGCGGCGCCCTTTTCAGAACCATGCTTCCTCCCGGCTTGATTCTTTATTGGGAGCCAAGGCCAAACAAGGTGTACAGGTACACATCTCAGGCTTATGAAAATGTTCAGTTAGTTTCTAATGTTTCGCATGCTATCTTCAACATGTAACCATTTTGCTGGTTATTTCTTGCCACTCAAGTATCTTGGACTTCACTACAAAGTGCATCCAATTGGGAACATATTTTTGAGCCCTTATTTCTTATATCATGCTTTGTAAGTTCATTATCCAATTGTGTCTTCATGCAAGCAGACATACTTCCATGGCATCTTAGTTGATAGGTGTCTTGTTTTGTTTATTAACTAGTGTCATTAAAAATCAGATCTAGTTACACTCATTGATTTTGTTCCGGGACCAAATATTATTTTGAACTGTTATGCCATGTGAAGTAACTATTGTTTTTGTTTGTTATTGAGATTTGCCTTAAAGTAATGCTGATTGTATTTATTGGGTTCTACAATCAATTGTAAGGAGCTTAGAAAATGTGTTAATAACATTACCAAACATTTCTTTTTGTCAAATATTTGAGGCTTTTCTTTAGCTTTTATGAATCTTAACTTTTAGTACTGTCCTAAATATATTGATACAATCTGCTTACAATTCATCCATAACATATTGTGCCTTGGGTTAGCAGCTACTTAATCACTTGATTTTTTTAATATATCCCATTGCTTCAGATTTACATTCTGCTATACAAGGAGGTTGCTCTTGCTTTGAAAATCAACAGCGTGTATAGCAAGAAGAAACTCTTAGAAATCCATGAGAACGTTAGAGTACTTCGTTATCCTGACCATTTTTCAAGTGGCGTCTATTTATGGTATGCATAAAAAGAAAAGGGAAGAGCAAGCAGGTCCCTTTATTTTGTTTATTGAAACTGGGATTTTTGTTTTTGGTTATAGAAAAAGTTAAAAGAGTAAAAAGAATTTTGGCTCCCAGTTCTAAAGCTATCTGCATCTGCTAATTTCCATTTATGTTTATTGATAGGTCTCATCATGAAAAAATTGTTGTTGTTGACCATCAAGTTTGTTTTATTGGGGGCCTAGATCTTTGCTTTGGTCGTTATGATTCATCTGAACATAAAGTAGGTGATTGTCCGCCTCGTATTTGGCCTGGCAAAGACTACTATAATCCAAGGTATGTTTTTTTCACATTCATGTCTTTACTTTGCGTTTATGACTAAAAATTTCAAATACGGAGTATACGTGTGTTGTAGAAGTCTATAAGCTGCCTTTTATGATTTGGTAGTTCATTGGATATGTTTTGTATTTCTGCAACAAATATTTAGGGGTGGGTGTTACATTTTGTTTGGTCATTTAAATATTTAATAGATTGAGTTGATTTTCTTATATGCCTATATGTATTTGTGATCAAGAATCCTACATCAGCTCATTCTTTTATAAAGCCTTTGCCTCAAGACATATTTTTAGTGGCTTATTGACTTTTGCAGTCTCTCCTCTTTCATTTACTTTCCAAGTTCCTCACGCAGTTCAATTTTCAGGGAATCTGAACCAAACACATGGGAAGATACCATGAAAGACGAATTGGACAGGGCAAAGTATCCACGCATGCCTTGGCATGATGTACACTGTGCCCTTTGGGGACCACCTTGCCGTGATGTGGCTCGACATTTTGTTCAGCGCTGGAACTATGCCAAGGTTCTTATTTTGTGGTAAAGTAAAATATTATCTATGGATATTTGACTTTCTTTTAAGTTTACACTATTTTAATTTCTCAGCGGAACAAAGCTCCAAATGAGCAAGCAATTCCACTACTTATGCCTCAGCATCATATGGTTATTCCCCATTACATGGGAGTCAGCATAGAGACAGACACTGAAAATAAAGATGCTAGTAATGCTCAAAGTATCAAGAGACAGGATTCATTTTCGTCTGAGTCATCTTGCCAAGATGTCCCTTTGCTCATGCCTCAAGAAGCTGATGAAATGAATATAAGTGGAGAACCAAAGTCTCGTGAGTTCAGCAATGGGTATGATCTGCATAACCAGCCAAACAGGTCAACTAGAATTTCTTTCCCTTTCCGGAAGGCCAAAGTAGAACCTTTTCTGCCAGGCATGCCGATGAAAGGATTTGTGGATGAAGCTGATGACATGGATTGTCAGAGAGAGTTGTCTTCTAGTTTGATGCATATTGGAACCAGAGCCTCAGATAAGGAATGGTGGGAAGCGCAGGAGCGCGGTAATCAAGTTGTTTCAGCAGATGAAACTGGGCAGGTTGGTCCCCGTGTTTGGTGTCGTTGTCAGGTAAGATACACTTGCAGTGTCTAACTGTGACAAGCAAATTATATGCTGTGTTTCTGGTTTAATACTAGATTAGGAATTCTAACAGAGCCTTGTTTTTATAAAATTGCTTGTGCAAATGATATTTCTTTTCCACTGTAAACATAATTTATGTTGTTTGTATTGTGCTACATATGTCTCTTAAAGGTATTGCTGGGGGTTTTTGTTTGATTAGATACTGTTAGAGAAAAGAACCAGGAGGTATTTTTATTGACTAGAAAATAAAGAAAAGAAACAGGAAGTCACAAGACTTTCCCCAACAAGAGTTTTAGGCTCTTGCCCCACAAGAGTTTTAGGCTCTTGCCTAGCTACTAAAGCTTAAAGACTAAGGAAGATTATTCGATGATTTACTCTCATCTAGAGATTCTAATTTATAGTGCTAGGAAATAAATAATTATAGAAAGGAGATGATTGTTGAGATGATTATGCCTCTATTTATTTTAGTCAAATCCCTTGAGTTAAGCCTTCCTTGTATATTCTGATTTGCCTGATTTGCATCCTTCCTTTTTTTTTCTGAGTAAACCATCTCTTATTTTGGGTGCGTATCATTGCCACCCACCAAAAAAACAGCCTTGTCCCCAAGGCTAGATTGGAAAGACTGCCCTATATTGTCCGGTGTCGATTTGGTCAGTTACACCAGGCTCGTCGCTCGTTTCGTCCTCGTCATCCTCTGCTGCAATTAGAGTTTGCAAGGATTTATTCGGGCATACATGAAGCGGACTGTACGGTTGCTGACAACGGAAACAAAGTCCTTTGGCGCGCATGTCCAGATACTCTTTGTTAGAATAATGTCGTGCCGGAGCTCGTGATGTTGATGTGCTGGAATTGCGTACTGAAGACTGCATAGCAGGAAACGCAGGTTGTGTTTGGGAGGAGAAGGAAGATGTTTGATTGCTGCCAGAGAATTGAGACTGGGTTGGAATGGGTTTGGGCTGTGAATAATTCGAAAAAGAATTGGTTTGGTAATTCTTCCCATGCCCATTAGACCAAGTAGACCCACTATGTGAAGGACTTATCTGGAGTGCTGCATTTTCTTCTTGCAGATTGCGTCCAAGGAGCCGGCCTGTGGAGAGAAATTCAATTTCTCGTTCTGCCGCGCGAGCGACACGCATCGCTGTTCGGAGATCTGTCACATCATTCGGTCGGAGCCGCACCCGAATTGCAGGTTTCAAGCCATTGAGAAAAAGCCCTAATTGAATGTGAGGAGCAAGTCCAGGAATTTGGGCAATGCGAGCTCGAAACGCAGCGATGAATTCATCCACCAAGCCCGTTTGACGAAGAGCGGCAAGCTGTTCAAACGGTGGCCCAGGCAATTCGTCGCCAAATTCTTCCAAAAGGTCATGTGTGAATTGAGTCCAAGTAAGAGTGGGTTGTTGTTGTTGTAGCCATCGGAGCCAATGTAGAGCTGCCCCCTCCATACTAACGAAAGCTGTTGGGACCTTCAAATCCTCTCGGGTGTGATGAATGGCAAAGTACTGCTCCACTCTAGCTAACCACCCAATTGGATCGGTGCCTTCAAATGTAGGGAGTTCTGTTTTTCCAATGGGCAGCGAGGTGTTGTCCGGCTGAACATGTTCTGGGAGAGAGGTTGAATTCGGCGTTGGGATGGAAGTTGATGAAGCACTGGCATTGTTGTGCCCTCCGCCTTGGAAGGAGAGAGCGAGGAGATCAGACATCCTAGCCACAGAAGCTTCCAAAGCTGCAAATCGATCGTTCAATGTGGTCAATTCAGTACGGATTGCATCTTGGTTCTTCTCTAACGTCTCTATGCGGGAATCTCGTGTGTTCGCCATCCAACGGCAGGTCGGACCAATTTGTTAGAGAAAAGAACCAGGAGGTATTTTTGTTGACTAGAAAATAAAGAAAAGAAACAGGAAGTCACAAGACTTTCCCCAACAAGAGTTTTAGGCTCTTGCCCCACAAGAGTTTTAGGCTCTTGCCTAGCTACTAAAGCTTAAAGACTAAGGAAGATTATTCGATGATTTACTCTCATCTAGAGATTCTAATTTATAGTGCTAGGAAATAAATAATTATAGAAAGGAGATGATTGTTGAGATGATTATGCCTCTATTTATTTTAGTCAAATCCCTTGAGTTAAGCCTTCCTTGTATATTCTGATTTGCCTGATTTGCATCCTTCCTTTTTTTTTTTGAGTAAACCATCTCTTATTTTGGGTGCGTATCAGATACAAAAATGAAACTTTTTGGTTCCAGGTTATAAGGAGTGTTAGTCAATGGTCTGCTGGAACGAGCCAAATTGAAGAAAGCATACATAA